CCCTCTCCTCTCCTGACAGCAGCCGTGTTCTTGTTTCAACCACTTCTGTGGCCCGCCGTCTATAGACGCATTGTTGCGGCCCGGAAGTGGTTAATGTGCATGCTTCTATAGAAGCATGTAACGTCATTGGCAGGTGAGCGCGGCCCAAGAATGCATCGACACAACGTCAAGCGGCGACATTCCTGCAAATATTTCCCTTTGTCACTTTCCCAGCGCAAATACGGGACGTGGAGCCTCGGGGAAGGATTTCAGCAGAGCCGCGCACACAGGTTCTGTCTAGGCCTGGAAGGGGTTAACCGTCTACCCTTCTTCCATCTCAGCCTTCCCCCACAATGGGGGATCCCTTAAAAACATGATTAGGGATCAGGGAACCCCCCAATATCTGTGGCTCATGGAACGTTAGTGTCATCAGTAAAAGGAAAATATGGAAGCAAAAAAAGGAAGGTGAGGTTTATGTCACGTGTTTCACCACACCCCGAGAGGATCATTCCTCACCTGGATGAAGGCCTCCCTTATATTGGTGGTCAGTGGATGAAGGCCTCCCTTATATTGGTGCTTAATGGATGAAGGCCTCCCTTATATTGGTGGTCAGTGGATGAAGGCCTCCCTTATATTGGTGGTCAGTGGATGAAGGTCCCCATTATATTGGTGGTCAGTGGATGAAGGCCTCCCTTATATTGCTGCTCAGTGGATGAAAGCCTCCCTTATATTGGTGGTCAGTGGATGAAGGCCTCCCTTATATTGGTGCTCAGTGAGAGAAGACCCCCATTATATTGGTGCTCAGTGGATGATGGCCCCCCTTATATTGGTGCTCAGTGGATGAAAGCCCCCCTTATATTGGTGCTTAATGGATGAAGGCCTCCCTTATATTGGTGCTCAGTGGATGAAGGCCCCCCTTATATTGGTGCTCAGTGAGAGAAGACCCCCATTATATTGGTGCTCAGTGGATGATGGCCCCCCTTATATTGGTGCTCAGTGGATGAAAGCCCCCCTTATATTGGTGCTTAATGGATGAAGGCCCCCCTTATATTGGTGCTCAGTGGATGAAGGCCCCCCTTATATTGGTGCTCAGTGAGAGAAGACCCCCATTATATTGGTGCTCAGTGGATGATGGCCCCCCTTATATTGGTGCTCAGTGGATGAAAGCCCCCCTTATATTGGTGCTTAATGGATGAAGGCCCCCCTTATATTGGTGCTTAGTGGATGAAAGCCCCCCTTATATTGGTGCACAGTGGATGAAGGCCCCCCTTATATTGGTGCTCAGTGAGAGAAGACCCCCATTATATTGGTGCTCAGTGGATGATGGCCCCCCTTATATTGGTGCTCAGTGGATGATGGCCCCCCTTATATTGGTGCTCAGTGGGCGAAGGTCCCCCTTATATTGGTGCTCAGTGGATGAAGGCCCCCCTTATATTGGTGCTCAGTGGATGATGGCCCCCCTTATATTGGTGCTCAGTGGGCGAAGGTCCCCCTTATATTGGTGCTCAGTGGATGAAGGCCCCCCTTATATTGGTGCTCAGTGGATGATGGCCCCCCTTATATTGGTGCTCAGTGGGCGAAGGTCCCCCTTATATTGGTGCTCAGTGGATGAAGGCCCCCCTTATATTGGTGCTCAGTGGATGATGGCCCCCCTTATATTGGTGCTCAGTGGGCGAAGGTCCCCCTTATATTGGTGCTCAGTGGATGAAGGCCCCCCTTATATTGGTGCTCAGTGGATGATGGCCCCCCTTATATTGGTGCTCAGTGGGCGAAGGTCCCCCTTATATTGGTGCTCAGTGGATGAAGGCCCCCCTTATATTGGTGCTCAGTGGATGATGGCCCCCCTTATATTGGTGCTCAGTGGGCGAAGGTCCCCCTTATATTGGTGCTCAGTGGATGAAGGCCCCCCTTATATTGGTGCTTAATGGATGAAGGCCCCCTTATATTGGTGCTCAGTGGATGATGGCCCCCCTTATATTGGTGCTCAGTGGATGAAGGCCCCCCTTATATTGGTGCTCAGTGGATGAAGGCCCCCCTTATATTGGTGCTCAGTGGATGATGGCCCCCCTTATATTGGTGCTCAGTGGATGAAGGCCCCCCTTATATTGGTGCTCAGTGGATGAAGGCCCCCCTTATATTGGTGCTCAGTGGATGATGGCCCCCCTTATATTGGTGCTCAGTGGATGAAGGCCCCCCTTATATTGGTGCTCAGTGGATGAAGGCCCCCCTTATATTGGTGCTCAGTGGATGATGGCCCCCCTTATATTGGTGCTCAGTGGATGAAGGCCCCCCTTATATTGGTGCTCAGTGGATGAAGGCCCCCCTTATATTGGTGCTCAGTGGATGATGGCCCCCCTTATATTGGTGCTCAGTGGATGAAGGCCCCCCTTATATTGGTGCTCAGTGGATGAAGGCCCCCCTTATATTGGTGCTCAGTGGATGAAGGCCCCCCTTATATTGGTGCTCAGTGGATGAAGGCCCCCCTTATATTGGTGCTCAGTGGATGATGGCCCCCCTTATATTGGTGCTCAGTGGATGAAGGCCCCCCTTATATTGGTGCTCAGTGGATGAAGGCCCCCCTTATATTGGTGCTCAGTGGATGATGGCCCCCCTTATATTGGTGCTCAGTGGATGAAGGCCCCCCTTATATTGGTGCTCAGTGGATGATGGCCCCCCTTATATTGGTGCTCAGTGGATGAAGGCCCCCCTTATATTGGTGCTCAGTGGATGAAGGCCCCCCTTATATTGGTGCTCAGTGGATGATGGCCCCCCTTATATTGGTGCTCAGTGGATGAAGGCCCCCCTTATATTGGTGCTCAGTGGATGATGGCCCCCCTTATATTGGTGCTCAGTGGATGAAAGCCCCCCTTATATTGGTGCTCAGTGGATGAAGGCCCCCCTTATATTGGTGCTCAGTGGATGATGGCCCCCCTTATATTGGTGCTCAGTGGATGAAGGCCCCCCTTATATTGGTGCTCAGTGGATGAAGGCCCCCCTTATATTGGTGCTCAGTGGATGATGGCCCCCCTTATATTGGTGCTCAGTGGATGAAGGCCCCCCTTATATTGGTGCTCAGTGGATGATGGCCCCCCTTATATTGGTGCTCAGTGGATGAAGGCCCCCCTTATATTGGTGCTCAGTGGATGAAGGCCCCCCTTATATTGGTGCTCAGTGGATGATGGCCCCCCTTATATTGGTGCTCAGTGGATGAAGGCCCCCCTTATATTGGTGCTCAGTGGATGAAGGCCCCCCTTATATTGGTGCTCAGTGGATGAAGGCCCCCCTTATATTGGTGCTCAGTGGATGAAGGCCCCCCTTATATTGGTGCTCAGTGGATGAAGGCCCCCCTTATATTGGTGCTCAGTGGATGAAGGCCCCCCTTATATTGGTGCTCAGTGGATGAAGGCCCCCCTTATATTGGTGCTCAGTGGATGAAGGCCCCCCTTATATTGGTGCTCAGTGGATGAAGGCCCCCCTTATATTGGTGCTCAGTGGATGAAGGCCCCCCTTATATTGGTGCTCAGTGGATGAAGGCCCCCCTTATATTGGTGCTCAGTGGATGAAGGCCCCCCTTATATTGGTGCTCAGTGGATGAAGGCCCCCCTTATATTGGTGCTCAGTGGATGAAGGCCCCCCTTATATTGGTGCTCAGTGGATGAAGGCCCCCCTTATATTGGTGCTTAATGGATGAAGGCCCCCTTATATTGGTGCTCAGTGGATGATGGCCCCCCTTATATTGGTGCTCAGTGGGCGAAGGTCCCCCTTATATTGGTGCTCAGTGGATGAAGGCCCCCCTTATATTGGTGCTTAATGGATGAAGGCCCCCTTATATTGGTGCTCAGTGGATGATGGCCCCCCTTATATTGGTGCTCAGTGGGCGAAGGTCCCCCTTATATTGGTGCTCAGTGGTCCCAAGTTCCTGGCTCTGCTGAGTGACTTTGGTGCACAGTGATGGAACCCCTGCCAACCTCTGTAGGGAACCCCAGAGCTCCACGGGCCCCTGCCTGAGAAAGGCCGCTCTATCTCCTGCAGCTGGTGGCAGTTTAGCACAAGCTGCAATTAGTGGTGGGGAGTGTAATGCAGCCCAGCCACCCCCCTCCCTACCCACCAAAAATCAGCATAATGCCCCTCTGTGCCCTGAGAAACACCCCACACAACACCCTCCTTATACTGCAGGAGCCATCCGAGTGCTGCGGGACCTGCAGACTGGGTCAGTGCACCAGAGCAGAGGAATACAAATTTACTGAGCAGAACAAACCATCTCAGAGTGAAGATACAGAAGGCATCGAAGAGAACCGGTCACCAACAAAAAACTGCAAGTAAAAATCAAGCCATCGTCATGTTTACTTCCAATGTGTCTTTGGACTTCCTAAAAGATGAGGAGACTTCTCCTCGGAGGAGTCAATGCCCCAGCACAGCCCCCTCCCTCCTTACACACCATAGCCCTCTCGTCTTCTGAAAGTGTCTAATTACTGGCCCAGCAATTCCACCCATCACCGCCCCTTCCAACATAACCCTTTATGACCGAGTCTGATGGGGCTGCTGACATCACATCCAAGATGGCGGCAGCCTGAGGGCTTTGGATATCTACATAAGGGAGACTTTAAATGTATTGGGAGCTTGGTCAATGCACCTCCACATCCTGTCCTCTATAGCACCATTATTCCTCTACTGCCCCCACTCACTATCTCGGTTCATACCTGTTCCATCTCTGCTTCCTCTTCTCAGCTCTCCTGACATCTGGAAGTCGATGCTGGCGTAGGTGTTGATGCATGGATTGGCTCCCAGGGTTCCACTCTTTATTGGCTGTGGCACGTTGGCACTCACCAGATAGGCAGTCAGTGGACTGGTACCTACGTCTTTTGCAAGGTCCAGATCAATGTAATTGAGCCCAGATTCATTGGACTGTGCCCGGTTTCCATTGCAAGAGGCAACAGCGTTGAGGGACAAGTTATCAGAACAGTGCCTCATCCGGGCTGGGTGATCGGCCCTCGCAAACTTGCTACGATCTTGCCCCTTGTAAAGACCGCAGCTGGCCACTGCGGATAGCAGGCCCCTCAATTCCAGGTCTTCAGATGGAGGTTTTGTTACTGTAGTCTTCTCGGCACGACCAAACCCGCTGTCCGCTGGGGCCTCCATTGGCACCTTGGCAGTAAGGCTTAGCTTGTTATCCGCAGGCGCTATGGGCCTGAATGTGGTATCGCTGGCCGTGAGCCAGGGATCGTCTTCTGCCGAAGGCTTTAGAAACCTTTCTAAGGTTGAGGTAGGCCACGAGGCCTTTTTTGAAACTGGCCAGGAGTTCATTTCCGCCGTTACCAGGCCATACGCACTTTCGGGAGTTGTCTTTAAAGCCTTCTCAACTTTTTGGTTGGCAGCGGATGGAACTTGCCTGTGGCATGGCTCAAAAGTCATTTTGGTATAGTCTCCGTTGGCCACCTCTGGATGCTGCGTGTCCATGGCAATGTATTCCGACTGGGGAACGTGTGAGACCTTTCTTGTCTTTTCCTGTTTGGCCCTGAAGTGGATGCTGACATATTCCCCCGGACTGGGAGGTCTACGGTAGTTTCCTGGCAACGTGTTTGCCCGCCAAGTGTCCACAGACATACTGAGCGGTCTCCGGCTCCTTCCACCACTGACTTCTTCAAGGCTGTCAGAGGATGAGGAGCAAGAGTTCCTAGCAGGAGGTACTGGGTCCAGCTTATAAGAACGAGGAAGTGAACGGTAGGAGGCAGGAATCCTTGTAGGCCCATTGCTCAGTGTTAATGACTTCTCCACGGGTGGAGGGGTACTAGAGGCTGAGCGGCTTAGTGGCCACATGTTCATGTAATCCGAAGCTTGGCTGTCCGCACTGCCCACCGACATGTCTCCAGAAGGTGGCCAGCTTGCCCTCTCTTGCTCTGGAGAACAACTACCCAAAGGGGACATCATGACATAACCAGCCAACTCTATGGGGGCTGGTGGAGAGATACTGTTAGGTGTCATGGGCATGTAATCTTGGGATCGACTTCCAGGCAGCATGGGCATATAACCTGCTTCAGGGCGTGGCTCACATTTTACCATCATGGCGTAATTGTCTTCATGTTCCAGTTTAAAAGCTTTTCCTCCATCTTCTCCATTTGGCGTGATGGGTACTGACCCGAGGTCTAGTGCTAGAGACCTCCTCCCAAGCTGCCCCATGGAGATGTAATTGGTCTCTCCTGTAACTGGAGACGGTGGCAAAAATATCGGAGGCTCGTGCAGGCTAGGACTTGAGCCATACTCATCCGAAGAAGCAGAACCGTAGTCCATTGGAAGGTGAGTGGCTTCAACACTTGTCCGCTTCTCCTCTTCCTCAGGGGAACGTGGACTGTGATCCCTAGGCAGAGAGTAAGGCTTTGGAGCCGGTGAGCCGTCCGCTGAAACTTCAATCCTGGAGCGGCGTGACAAGCCAACTTGGCTAGGTGGTGGTGGGTTGGGTAGGTGCCTCCTGGATGGGACGGTGATGGGAGTCGAAGAAAGGGATTGACTCTTGGTCCGTGGACGAAACTCTTCACTTAAAGACTTCATAGCTTCCAGGATGGTCTCGTGCATGTTCTGGGCTACAACAGAGTCATCGACCTGGAAGATAAGAAATTATATGAGAGGATGGCTAAGGAAGTGTAGGCACAAGTATGGGATTCCGTGACAATAGCCAAACTAAATGTAATGCTTTTCAGGATAAACATAGAGAAACACTTACAATGCCCATGCAGTGCAAAGGTACAGAGACCTACTTGTAAGGACAACCTTAGACTCACTAAAGTTCACCTTCTAGCTCTGATAGACCAGCAGGTGAGCCCAAACTGCATCAGAGCTCCTCCTCATATGAGTTCAGACTTGGAGATTAGCTACTCCAGCACTGCATCCTCATAGGAGGAGGGGGAGCTAATCTTACTAGATTTAGCTCTTGTCCTTTTCCCTTTTCCTCTATCAAGGTTAGCCAAAGCCAAATCTAGGAAGATAAAGCCCTATGACTTTGAGACTTCATTTCATATACAAGCTCTGCTTCCTACTTAGTAGTGATACATTGTGGTTTTGCTTTGCTGATGTTCATCAACTCCACCAGACCAGGGCTCAAAATTTCCACTCGCCCCCTCGCAAATTGGCGAGTGGAAATTCATCGGCGGATTGTTCGCCGCCGGCAGGACGGGGGTGAAACTGCCGCTGCTTCTGCGGCAATCGCTCTCTCTTCTCTGGCCGGGGTGAAGGGAAGACGGCCAAACTGATTGTTCTCCTCCGCGGCCACTCTGTAGCTCCAGCGGCCGCGGAGGAGAAGAATCAGTTTGGCCGTCTTCCCTTCTACCGGCCAGAGAAGAGACAGCAATCGCCGGAGAAGCAGCGGCAGTTTCACCCCCTGTCCCACCGGCGGCGAACCCCACCGCCGATGAACACAAGGGACCAGTAGGTTGCACTGCAGTTCTGGTGGGACATACAAAAAGATGGAGTGAGCAGAATGACCGAAACACAAGTTCATCACCAAGCTGCTTCTCATTTTCAAACAGTCTGGTTGAAAACAGACTGTTGGTCTTGAGTTTCATTAAACACAACACGTAGTATCTTGGTAGAATGCAGACCAACTACCGTGTTTCCCCGAAAATAAGACACTGGGTCTTATTTTCACGGGATGTCTTATTTATTTATTTTTTTATGTACAACAAAATGTACAACAATCCAAAGTTATGTTCAAAGTTAGTAACCGGCGCTATAGAGGAAGTATCGGCTAATGCGACTCTGCTCCCTCCGCAGCCTTGCTTTCTACAGCGCTGGCCTCCTTTGCCATCAGGGACAGCGGTACCAGCGGTGCAGCAGGGAGGACATCAGACAGTGGACAGCGCGGTAAAGTACGGTACCATTTACCGGTACACAGTACTGTACCATTACATTAAGCAGTGCCTTCAGGGGGACAGCAGTTGGTGTAGTATGGTACTGGAGTGCTCCCTGTCACTGCACTGGCCGGAGGGAGTCCCCTGTCATCCCCTTATACAGTGTGTCCCTGCAGGCTGATACCATCTCTCCTGCTCTTCAAGTTCCCCCTCACATGCTACCACCAAACTAGATCTTACTTTCGGGGTAGGTCTTATTTTCGGGGAAACAGGGTAGGATACACAGGGGAGCTCAGGAAGAGCTTTTCAGGGCACACATGAGTTTTTTGGGGCTTTGACTCAAAATAATGTGATTGGCTAATGCCGTCTCTTTGGGTAGAATAACGTGAACACATTATAGTAATTCTAAGACAGAACGGTCTATTTTGGGGAACGCCACATCCGCGCACATGCTTAGTAAATGCTAATTTCGTTCCCACGGCTCGGCAGTGTTTAGTGTAAGAATTAGCAACTAAGCCAAGTGTGAGTTGGGAGAAGTCTCCAGATGCCGGTGTATCCAATTAACATGCGGTAAACATTCGGGAAAACGCTGCCAGCGTATGCAAATCCATTGGAGATAACAAGCCCCGTTCTTAAAGCAAAACTCGCTAAAGCAGACCTAAGCCTTCAAAAGCTGAAGTTTTAATCTGCTTCTTTTTTTCCTTCTCCGGTTTCCGTCTGACTTGCTGCAGCTTCTAATGCATGTTGTGAGAAGCTCCCAGTGTGCAGTGACATCAGAGGAAGCCATTTCAGTCCGGGAGAGGAGCCGGCGCAACTGTGCAAGACTGAAGGGAAGAGTTCAGATTGAACAGCGGGCACTTCTTAATAGCAGCCATAGCGCCTTGGGTGCTCCTGACCCACGGGGTGATCAATATGTGGCTTCCAGCTCTGTGCTCAATGGAACTTGCCAAGTCTTTCTGATCAGTTGAAAGACTGGCATGGCAATAGGGTGTTCCAGAGATCTGACTTTGTAACTGGAAGTCAACATTTGCATAATAAGCTCCTCGGTGCCCAAGACAGGACCATGGCGTACGTACAGATGTCCCTCAGAATCTTTACAGAGAAACTAAAAAACCTTTAATCACCAATAATTAAATACTAAGGCGGGTAATGATTACAATTTTCATGTTCGATTAATCAAATTTTTTTAAAACCGATTAATTTTGATTACTTATAACGCACATACAGATCCAACTACATTGGCCTATACACATACAGCACAGCAATGAAGTAATAAAATGAACTAGGATCACACTCATCCAGCACGTTATTATTCTGAGTTACCCCCACTCAATATGGCCGCCGCTTGGGTGAGGAAACTCAGAATAATAACGTGCCGGATTAGTGTGATCCTAGTTCATTTTATTACTTCATTGCTGTGCTGTATGTGTATAGGCCGATGCCTTGGCTGGCACTCGTGCAGAAAGTTTCTTGGCCATACTCACCGGCCCAAGTGGCTCCGTCGGCTAACGAAGGGAAGGGGGGAGGAGTCCCATGACGTCACAGACATCGACGTCACCGGACTCCTCCCCATTTCCCTTCGTTAGCCGACGGAGTCACTTGGGGAAGGGGGAAGGAATCCGATGACGTCGATATCCGTGAAGTCACCTGATCGCTGACCGGACTCCCGGAAGCCGGCGGAGAGGCGAGTGTTTTCATTAGCGATCAAAATAATTTTAATCAATCAAAAAGTTTAACGATTAATCGAGAAATTAATCTTTAATTTTCACAGGCCTATTGAATACCCATAATCCTATGTAGCCAATGAGATCTAGACTGCAGGTCCATGTCCTATACATACGTTCATGTATCCCTAACCCTCCTCAACCCCTACTCCAAATTTGAGCCTTCTAGCCCACAAAGAACCAGAGCTACGCCCAGGACAACAAGGCATACCCACATAACATTTGAGTCTATGGAAACCACGCCTTCTGAGACATGGGTCACTCTCCGGTCAGCTTGCTCCTTGCCCAGAGGGGCCATCTAGGGAAGGCTTGGCACTACCTCTGGTAGTAATTTGGTGACAGGCGGACACTTCTAAGTCCTTCCACCGAGTCCACGAAAAACACCCTCGGTTCCGAACTATCAAAGTGGTAAAAATGATGCCCAGCCAAAACTTTTTTATGGCTTGGGTAAGGATTAGAACCCCTGTCGAATTATCACAGCTACCTGGGGTCACGGTAGTGGGTTTTTGGCACTTCCTGTCCCGGTGACAATTTTTTTTAAAACAGGAAATGAGGGAACAGCAACACAGACCGAAATAAAATCTACATTAGTAGAGTGGGGGAGGAAAAAACAAACCCCCCCCCCCCTTCAGCTTTTTCTTATTTCCATGTGCCCCTGTTGCAGATTTACCCTCATTTCCTGTCTGGGAAATCCTTTTTCATCAGGAAGCGAGCGGAAATCTCTCCATCGGAGCCCAGAATAGCAGCAAAAAAACAATCAGAAAATCCAACCCTTACCCTTCCCCCACCCCATTCCAAAGGGTTTGGCTGGACTTACACCCTTTCATTTTTTTTGGGATAGCTTTAGATGTTTTTGAGTTATTTTAGGTCAACAGAAAAGCTGTTTTGCAGCAACCTGATACCATTCCTGGATGCAGATGATTTCTCATTCAGGGGCAGTGTGTTGTCCAGCTTTTGGAACGCTCCCAAATGTGTTATAAATTTATAGACATTGTATTGGAGCTCATCTGCATCTGAGGAGGGAAGTTACCGCCATGATATTAGCACAATGTGGTCAGTTTTATACATCTAGGATTCAATGATATGAAGAGCCATCATGACTCATCAGGACTCTCTTCCATTGGCTCCAGGGGGGGGGGGGGCGACGGGGACCTCCCCCCCACACTTGGCCAAGAGGGGGGTGGTGCGCAGT